TCATAATAGTTTTCGTAATCGTAATATATCGAATGAGGATCAGTTTACCTTGTTGAAGTTGTTGGAGTTGGTACTTCAAATACTTGAAAACGTCTTCTTTCACTTTTCTGATGTTTTAGGCCAACTGTCAGTCAATATTCAAGAATGCGAACTGCTCCTTCTGGAGCAGTGATAATGCGACTGGCTTGATATTTTTTGATTTCTTTGTTGTGAAGCGTTATTTGTTTACTCGGCATTGTTGTGTTCCACAACAATGCCGTGTAAACAAATATCTGTTGACATTGTTGATGACGTCATTTTTTGACGACAACGAGGAATCACAAATTTTTATAGTAGAAGATACTTTATAATTATAATTTAAGTCACCACTTACGTTCACATATCGTTCAGACACCCTCTCTAAAGCTGCTTTCAGTTCAACTGCAGGCGTTACGTAGGTAACGCCAGCAAACAATTTGTAACAACGCGTAACAATTTACGAGGAGACTAAGAGACTGCGACAATGAATTGAAAACTAGATGTTAAAACAATGGGGAAGCAAGAAATTGACAGTGGAACCACGGTTCCGGAGAATCTGATGTAAATACGTCTTTGTATTTAAATTATATTTAGGCAACAAATACATTGAAAGGAAGTTTATATATTAGCTTTATTCTAAATATTCCCTTTATATATGCTTTACAATTGAGTAAAGTTTGATTAAGACATTGCTTATTTAATTATCCCATATACATTCAGCATTAGTTTTTGGTATTTTTTTGGGAACTCCGGGTTCATTATTTAATACTTCTATTTTTTACGTTTTCTGTACTGTCTCATATATTCTGCATTACGGACTCTTTTAGCTTCAATGTCATCCATCTTGTTATCTCTACATAGTATGACGCAACACGCAAACACAGCAGTAGCGTGAAGTGCGATGCGCCTTTATTTGTATAAATAAATGTTTGTAGAACCTAAACCATTTGTGATATGTAAAATCTGAAAAAGGATATGAAAAGCTCAAGAGGTAATACGTATTTCGTATGCAATATGTCCTGATCAATCTCTTACGGTTTTCGAGAGGCGGGCGCTTAACGCGCCAGATGCATTGAAAATTGTACACATTGGTTCATAAAAATTACAATAAATGTATAAACAATTATAATTACAATAAAATACATTACTGATTCTGAAAGGTCCTTATTTACTGATCATTTTACATATGGTTAACATTACTCTTATTCTTACCATTCCTGAGGAATGAACATTTAAATGTGACTCGAAGATGGATTTTACACATTTTCGTAACTAACGCTGATTTTGGCGAATGACCCGTCCGTATAGTTACGTCAAAAACGTTAAAAAATATAATTACAGCTTAACGTATTGTGGATAAAAATGCAAAATGAATGCCTTGTTAAATTGTTAGTCTATTATTAGAGTCATGATGATGAAAACGTTAATTAGAGTTGACTTTTTTGGGATATACAGTGTGTCCACAAAGTCCCTTCGGGGTTTTGAAAAATTGTGGCGCGCAAACAAATTGAGCTAGCCACATGCGGTTTGTGGCAGATTATAATGAATTTCTGGAAATTTTTTATTGACCTCAGTAGACCTCAATATGGGATCCATTGGTAGCACAGAGAACGTCCAGACGATATTTGAGCTCTTAGCCGGCTCTAGAGCTCTCTGCCAGAGCCGGAAATTGTCG